GTGTGATGTAACCGAACCATTGTTTACCACATTGATTGATATAGTCTTAACAAATGTAGCTCCATCCACTGCGGTTGTACGATCTTTTGAAATGATGGTGACCCCAATATTTTGGATCAAGAATAGTTTGTTACCCCGCAAATGTGTTTTCGCATTGCCATATGTGCTAACTAAACTAATCCGGGGTGCTAAATTTGGCTTGGGCCAATATTTTTCTCATAGTCATACAAATTACAATGTATTATCATACAATGTAACATCATACAATGTATCATCATGATACATAAGCTGCGTTCACACGTATACACGGCTTAGCTGGTACCGTACTTAGTTGGTGCTAAGTTCGGAAAAACTGCGTTCACACGAGATACACGAGATTCGAGCGCTTAGCTAGCTCGGATAATATAGACTGGTACCGGTCGGACAGTTCACACCACGCTACCCTAACGTCGTGCAGCGAACGGGTAGCAGGTCTAGGTTAGAGCGCGACAGTTCGCAATTCACACGAACAATGCGTTCACAATGCGCCACACGACAAAACAATACGCGGCCAGCCTGGTGCCGAAATATACGCGGCTTAGGTATGGCGCGGAATATGATTCCGCGCTTCGCAAGCCGGAGCATTCGCGGCTAAGCAAGCCGTGGCTTAGCAAGCCGTGTATATTTTAGCGTGTGAACGCAACTTTTCTCCTCGTGTGAACGCAGCTATACATGCAGTCACGTTTGAGTTGGCCCCGACATGGCCAGCCCCTCCGCTCCCACTCCCACTATATATATCTATAGGTTCTCTAACCGGCGTCTAGACGTATTCTGATTAAACCGGAAAGCACTTTGTTACCTCACAAGGATTTGTGTTTTGGACAAGTCCATTGGGCTATATAGTATATACTGAAGTGAAGACTGAGAGAGTCAAAGTATCTCAATTATTCTAACAACGACAGGGACATAGCTAGCAGAGAAGGGGGTGGGGAGGGGCAAGCCATGCAGCAGTTACCCTTCCCCTAGACATATAACAGTGTAATTGATACTATTAGTGTAGTGGCCGGCCCTATGGGTGGCCACAATTGGATTTCTAATAGTGTAGTTTACCCGTAGCTATTTAAGTAGTGTGGTTTTAACTGTCACCACCCCTGAAATCTCCTCATTACACTGAATCTGATCATTATTAGCCAATGGTGAACTCTCCACGATCACTCAGCTATCCAGATTGTAGCCCAGACATGGCTTTTCATCCCTATTTTAGGATAAATGAGTTGGGGGCCCAATCCTAGTTAACTAGACTTGTGCAAAGAGCGGACTACACACCTGAATAACAAATCTGTTGTATAGTGGAATAGGGTATATATATATGTATTAATTCTGTTGTAGGCCATGCAACCTATAACTATGCAGTTTTAATTAAAACTAGATAATAAAGTTTGCCGTCTGTCTCTGTTTCAGGATCTGACCGTACGTACTATATACTGCGAGACAAAAGACACGTAGCAGCCCCACCACCTTTAATTTCTTTTGTTCCTGTCCACCCGGTTAGTTCCATCACTGGTCTACCACCACGTTATTCCACGCGCACACACACACCGTTAATATCCAACAAGCTTACGGTGTAGTGGGCGTGAGACCAATAATCATGGATATAGTACAGGACTACCTCAGACAGGGCTACGATTACTACCTATGGACGCTGTCGTTTTCTGGTAAGTTTGCGCGGTTGTGAAGCCATTTATGTTCTGAGTGTGCATCGAATTCTGTCATAATTCTTGCAGAAGCTGTCGGTAGTGTACTTTGTATGATGTTTTTACATCACACACTGTCTATATATATATACCACACATACTGTCCCAATGTTATTAGCTGCCTGTACCCTGTATATTGTCTCACTTACTATCTCGCACCTTGTGCCTCACTATGTGCTGTCCCACATACTGCCTCATGTGCTGATTTTTCTCACTCATGCACTTCTGTCTCCACTTGTTTTCTCCACATACTGTCTCTCTACATCACACACTAGTCAGGGTTCTCCCCAGGATGAAATTCAAACAGGGGGGAGGGTAGGGGGAGGGAAAGGGGGAGGGGGGGGGGAAACTAGGGGGTCCGGGGGCCGTGTATGTTTACCGTACGACTAATTAATGCGTAAAATCGCCACACATAGACGCGGTATTTGGGGTTCTTGTATATACTAAGATAGCCGAGTCCGGTGTAGAGTTAGTTACAGGTTAACTGTGCATTGGCAGTTAACTTGGTGTACTGTCTGCAGTGCATGCGTGGTAGGGTGAAAATACACCGGTCGCGATGTCCTGGCTCGAACGGCAATTCTTGACGATCGCGCTGGCAACTTTTATTGTTGTTGGAATTTAAACGGGGCGCAACGATTCAAACAGGGGGAGTTTTCCCAACGGGGCGCGCGCCCCCGTTTGCGCAAACGTAGGCGGAGAACCCTGCTAGTATCTCTACCTCAGATGTTATATCCCTCCCTCGCACCCTATCGTAAAGTCCAAAGTCCATCGCGGAATTTGCGTGAATCGCGGAAAACGCAGTTTTGAGAAAAAAGAAAAAAAACCTCCAAAAATGACAAAAAAACGAAATTTAATTAAATTAAATGAAAACTCTTATTAAAATCTCTCTACTTCACACACTGTCTCTCTACCTCACACACTATCTCTCTACCTCACACACTATCTCTCTACCTCACACACTATCTCTCTACTTCACACACTGTCTCTCTATCTCACACACTATCTCTCTACCTCACACACTATCTCTCTACCTCACACACTATCTCTCTACCTACACACTATGCTCTTACCTCATCATCACTATCTCTCTATCCTCACACACTATCTCTCTACCTCACACACTATCTCTCTACTTCACACACTGTCTCGATCTCTACCTCACACACTATCTCTCTACCTCACACACGATCTCTCTACCTCACACACTGTCTCTCTACCTCACACACTGTCTCTCTACTTCACACACTATCTCTACCTCAGATGTTATATCACTACCTCACACCCTATCATGGTACCTCACACTATCTTTCTACCTCACACACTATCTCTCTTCCTCGTGCCCCATCTATCTACCTCACATTGTCTGTACATAGCATGCAGGCGGTATCACAGGCTGTCTCTACCATACATGCTATCAGGAGTGAATAATAATAGATCTATATTATATTTTGTATATATATATTTTATATTATATTATATATTAATATATTAAATATAGGCCTCGACGCCTTATTTCAGATCTGCGTTGTCCTTCGGCGGCAACAAGAAGCAATTTTTACTTGCCCGAATTTTGATTTTACTTGTCAAAATTTACTTGTGCAATCTATGAGCCATTAATGTCCTCTTTTGGTCCAGTGCATAATCATATTATCAGGAGGTATAATATAAGATCTATTTTATATAAATGATATAGATATACATATATATATACATATATAGGTAGATGTAGATATATATATATTAGTACACTCTGATATTTTTGCCAGTATTCCCTGCATGCATAATAGGCTCGCCACATACCTAGGCATGTGTCTGCCCGCGCGCGTTTGCATTGCGTGCGTGCGTATTACACTTGCAGTATATATATACCGTATTTACTTGTGTATAAACCGCGCTTTTTGTACACAACTTCAATAAAAAAATCAGGGGGCGACTTATAGACAAAGGCTAAGAAATCTTTGTTAAGTGTACCAATGTTCTGTACAACTTTTCAATGCAAAATATGGGGTGAGACTTATAATATACATGAATTATACTTATACACGAGTCAATACAGGTACATGTAAAATCGTAATGAAATTCACACGTTTATGTTTGCATGCTGGCACGCTCATTGTTGTGTCATTACCGATTGCAGCTTTTTCCTCAATACAGGAAAGAGTTTTGCTTCGTCCTCTATCCCAGCGATGCCCACCCCCTACATATTCAGTAATGAATATGCCCCAACCGACTTATAAACAATCGTACCCCAGTACCCTAGTACATAAATCAATGCCGCCCCGGCCAGGAGGGTACGCATTGCCGCTCTGAATAAATCTGTAATGGTAACAGTGGGGTCGCGGCGCTGCTTTTTCAGGGACCTTTGAAAACGTTTGAAGTGAGAATGTGGTGCGATAGCGCCCTGGCTCAGAGGATATTAAGAATATTAAACAACTCGAACTTTTCAGTTGCCGATCGGGCCAACTATGCAAGAGAATAACTTGTCCCGAATAGACTTTCACTTGTCCCGGCAATCGGACAACCGTTAGTGTCGAGGGCTGAATATATAATATTAATATAATTTATTGTATTGTATTATATTAAATATATATATATATATAATATATCTCATGCATGTATGCTGCTATCTCATGCGCTGTCTCCCCGTCACGTTGCGTGTCTTACAGATAAGCGTGTGGAACGATGGGGCTTGATGAGCTCTCCTCTCTACACGGCGGCGCTCACGCTCGCCTACCTGTTCCTCGTCTGGGCGGGGCCGCGCTTCATGCAGCGGCGGCGCCCCCTACAGCTGCGGGCCGTCCTCGTCGGCTACAACTTTGCGATGATGCTGCTCAACCTTTATGTGATGGTCGAGGTGAGAAAGCGATGCGTTGTCACGGCGACGCCGCCGCCATTCCAGCTGCATCGTCGTGGTGAGGCTGACTCTCCCGCTGTGTCGCCGTGGTGATGCTGCTTCCCCTGCTGCGTCGTCACGGCGACACCGCCGTTCGTGCCGCGTCAGTGTGATCGATTGGTCTGGGGTTTATTTGTTGACGGCAGCATACCGCAGTTGTTGTTGCAGCGATGCCTGGCAACCGCATGCAAACGTGCGGGCAGTGGTCGTCGTCGCAGCATTGTAGTTTCCCCGGTATCCGTGTGTTGCTGTGGAAACGTTGTTGTTGCCCTGGTAACCGCATTGTTGTCATTCTAGGTGTTGGATGCTTCCACACGCCTTGGCTACAGCTACATCTGCCAGCCAGTGAACTATTCAAAGAATTACCACGAAATGAAGGTAAGCAGGATAATGGTAATATGTTACATGATCTTTTAAAATTTATATTTCTGAGGGTAAGGTGGGTATTATTTTTAGGTAAGGATATTGACTAGATTTTTTTAACTAGATGTCTCTGCATTTAATTGCATCGATGCGTTATCTGATATATTAAATGTTGCCAGTGTTATCGTGGGATTGGATACTGCATGCTCGCTGATGAACTGCAGAAACCGTGTGACCTGCTTGCTTCCATGTTGCAGAGCCACAAACGCTCGAGATAAAATCGTAAACAAGTGATCGATCTCGCCATGGCGTAACATGGTCGTTCGCTGCGATTTCAGATTGCCAGAGCCCTCTGGTGGTACTACATCTCGAAGGGCATTGAGTTTTTCGACACCTTCTTCTTCATCCTGCGTAAGAAGAACAGTCAAATCACCTTTCTTCATGTTTACCACCACTCTACGATGTTCTGTCTCTGGTGGATCGGGATCAAGTGGGTCGCGGGTGGATCCGGTGAGTCATCCCTCGATTCTAGTCTAAATTTCAAAGACATATTCCTGTGATTTTAATCTTAGTGTGCTGTATACGCTGTATATTTCGCGGCGGTTTAATTTTCGCGAATTTTGCAAACCCGTCCCCGTCCGCGAAAATAACAGCATGCGAATAATTCGTACCGAATAATGCCGAATGATTCATAATTTACCGACTGCAAAATTATAACCACTCGCGAAATTGTCCGTCAGGTCTGAATTCGCGAAAATATCTGTACGCGAAAAATATGGCTTATACTATACAGTAGTTTGTTCAGTGCACTGCCAGTGTTGTCTTTCGAGGGGTGTAATCAGGAATTTTTGTGCATCGTGGGGGTAGTCGGAGCAGCATCGAAGAAAACTCCAGCAAAGAAGGGTTATCAAGCCAATTTGCTTTTTATTAGTACTTTTTATGTATGACCGGGAGGTATACACACGCTACATGGAGTTAGTCGGAGCGGTTTAGGAAGCGAATCAGGTTTGGCAGTCACAGCAGTTTGTTGCCATCATTATTGCCATTGTTGCCATCATTATTGCACTGTTTGGACTCTCACTCTCGTGTGTTTCAGCATTCGACAGAGTGTCCGTGATTCATGTAATACTAAAATGCAGGGCTTCTTAGTCCTGGAACTTGGGGTTCGTGGATGGGCTTCAGGGGGTCCATAGTTACACTTTAAGTCATCCTTGGTCCGTAATCATCTTATGTGCATTTTTCTGGGGAGGGGGCCGTATTTTTGACCAGATTCTCAAAGGGGTCCGTGACTCAAAAAAGGTTAAGAACCACTGCTCTAATGCATCATGGTATCACGTCGTATTCTGTGTCGCGCACTGTTCGCCGTGTGCTGTTCATCGCGCGTGTGCGACGTGTACATGTATCTCTCTCTCTCTCTCTATCTATCTCGTGTGTGTTTTAGCATTCTACGGAGCTATGGTGAACTCGTTCATACACGTGCTCATGTATAGCTACTACTGCCTCGCTGCTCTCGGTCCATCCTTCCAGCGCTTCCTCTGGTGGAAAAAGTACCTCACCATACTGCAGCTGGTATGTACTGCTACGCTCCCCACTGTCTATAGTTTGTTAACGTCACGAGTGAATAATATTATATTATTTATAATATAAGATAATAATTATTATGATATATTATTATATAATGATTATATTATACTTAATAATAGCTAGTAGATCTATTCAAGTCTTGTTAACGCGTAAGTGTCTCCCGCGCAGTCAGCCTGTGTCACCCTATCCCTGCGCCGCTACGCATAATTTATGATAATGCATATGTGTGATGCAGGGCCGTACGCAGGAAATTTTCTGTAGGGGGGCAAAGGTACTCCCCATGCCCCCTGTGCCCTAATGTTTCGCAATTTCACATTTCTTTATTTAAAGTAATATTTCTTTGATGATTTAAGATAACCTTTTGTCACTTTTCTATTTTATTTCTAAAAGTGTACAGTATTTGTCCCATTAAAAGGCATACTCTGAAAATCTCTAGGGGAGGGGGCAACTGCCCCTGCTGCCCCCCTGCTGCGTACGGCCCTGGTGTGATGTAATGATCGTAAAATGTGTAATTGTACTGGGATTGGTTTTGAGACCTGGTATGCTGTTATTATTATCGCATTAATCAGTTAAATAATAATAGCTGGTTTTATCAGCTCTTGATTCGACTAATAATAATATATGATTATAATAGTATTATACATTTTTCTCCATTTATATAAGCATAAGTAAGTTAATTATAACGCTGAAGTTATAACATTCGTAATAGCTGGTATTATCAGCTCTTGTTAATAATAATAATATATGATTATAATAGTATTATACATTTTTCTCCATTTATATAAGCATAAGTAAGTTAATTATAACGCTGAAGTTATAACATTC